TTGATAGAGATAACAGAGCTGATGTTCATGATTACTAAATAAATCCTGGTTTTAAATTAGGTTGTTCACCCTTTTTTGGTCTATCACTTGGTAAAAAAATAATAGGCTTTTGAAAAGGTCAAAGTGAAAAACTGGGAATTTTTGACCATTTCATTAGTTAGAAGATCAGATTGAGCCACTATACAGGGCCAGAAAACACCCTGTGCCTGTATGTTACAGTGCTGCAAGACTAAGGGATTAAACAAGGGTAAGAGTAGGGCATGTCTTGAGGGGGGCCGTTGACAAAAGTGGCCTTCATTTTCTGCTTAGCCATCGTCGCCTATTTCCGTCCTTGTTGTTAGGGAGCCAAACAGGGGCCGTGACCAGACTTTGGTAGCCCGGTTTAACTGACACTCACGCTAACTGTCTGAAAATGCTGCAGGCTCAGCAGCAGCATGAGCTACACAGCACATTTTTTAAAGAATCTTGACTATACAGATCAATAGGCCTATATCTAACAAAACACAGCTCCCTCTTAAACCTAGGCACGAGTTTGGAAACACATCCCCTGTGTTAGTTTCCTCCATAACTAAACCAAGAGGAAAGGCGGGGTTTAGCCTACTGAAAAACTACAGAATGCATGCAGTGAAGCATGTATAACAACCACAAAACTCTTCACTTAACCATGCATCTTTAAAACACTCCATCTGATCCTACCCTACATGTCTGCTGCCTCAGCCTGTGGAATGTGCTGCAGTGCAGAAGGGTCCAGGTCATGCCCTTATGGTGCTGGGTAATATATTGAGGTGTCTGGTGGAGTGCAGTCATCCAACACACATTGTGCCAACTGCAGGCTGTCACTCTACCCTGACCCGGTTGTTTGGTTTTCACCATCAAACACACACAGCTGAATGAAGAGGCTGTTTGGTATGCACTGTGTAAAGGCAACACTCCATCAAATGCTTGGACAGGTTTAAGTGACAACTCAGACTTTCATATCAGGTATTGCAAAAAGAGAGCTTTTCCTCTCACTCAAGCAGAATTTAGTGGTTATCATGTCCCTGAGATTTATTAAGCAGATCATTTTAGAGAATAGCTGCCTGTCCATTTTTGTGATTTGAAAGCAACTTAAGAACAATGACATCTAAATCCATAACAAAGGGAAAAATGAGACTGAAAGCCAAAGAAGAATGTATATTTACAAGTAGGAAATTCACATGCTTTTATGGTCTATTGTTGAGCCAATTTTATCCTCATGCCCTCACCACTTATTGGAGCCGAAGACTCTGGGTGCCAGGGTGGGCACCAGGTAGTCTGCTAGGCAGAGCAGCATGACAGCACAGGAGAGACCAGTCAGCACTGATGGGTCCAGGTAGTAAACCATCCTGAAGAAAAACAAAAGCAGTTCGTTGTAGTTTTTTTTTTAACAAACTCATCTTCTATTTGAATCACTATGGCCACTAGGGTTTGTACAGGAATTCCTGCACATGCATGTTGAAGCTATAGTGGTAAAGACTTATGAAAATTGAATGCAAAGGCTTTGTATTGATGCTGACTGATTTAGAGATTGAGGAGGGCGTGTGCATTTGTAAATAATGTATTGTGTTAACAAAACAGTCCTTTTCTAGTATGTAATCTTCAATTTTTTTCTCAACAATCAAAACATAAAATTAAGCTTATTTAACAAAAATGATTTTATATTAAAAACATCTATAGTCTAACCCGTTTTATTCTTCCATCTTTGAACCAGTTTGTTTTAGTACACTGGTCCACCTGGGAATTAGATTACAAAACATAGCATCTCAGTCAGGGTAGGTACTTTTTAGAGACACATCTCCCTGCTGAGCGAGAGAAAATGTATGCTATGCAAACAATGTTTCCAGCTGTGTGTAACTCTGACACAGCAGCACACAGTGAAGTGGACTCACAGGAAGAGCATGGTGGTGCCACCCATCAGGGCTCCGGGGAACCAAGGTTTCTCCCAACGCACAACACGATCCCCTGCCAGGATAACCTCGCCCCAGCCCTGCAGCTGCTCCTCCAGCTGGGCCGTTTCTTGAGCCTGCACACAATATGATATACATTAGAAAATTAAACAACACATTGGGAATTTTCTTTAAACTTGGTAACAAGATGGCCATAACATTAGCATGATTTCAGAGAAAACAGGTCTATATCTGCAGAAGTCAAGGGCAGAAGTTTCTCCTAGGCTATGCAACATAAGCCTGGATGTAAAATTATTCTTCTGCAACAGCCACTCTAATGACACTTGATACGTGCATTAACTTTGAAGCCCCTTAACAGATGTGGGAATGTATGATGAGATTGATGATTGATTTTATTCATGATCATCATGTAGAGAAACACAAATCCAGATGATAACCTGTAAAGGTAAAAACACATTCCAAACATGGTACCAAGAAGATAAATGACAGAACATACAGACATGAACCATTAAACATAAAATAACTAATGAAATCACAGTTTGATATATAAATGTCAGTAATAAGTTAACCTTAGTAATGTTGCGTACGGTGCAATTCAATGCAGTACTACTACTTTTTTGAATATATTTATATTCAGAATTTAAATAATAATTTATCGAAGTCCCAGGTTGAGGGTGTGGGTGCCTTTGGCGATAAGAAAGGCAGTGATAACGGTATTGCTATTGATATGACTGTGCAGTATATACATAATTAAAAAAAAATGGGAACATTTCTAGAACTAACCACACATGTCATCAAGTTAAATCGAGTGTAAATGTCATAACTCAATTTAAGGCCTCTAAAGAACCGTCAGCGAACAGTAACAAGGTTACAAATGGGAAAATGGGACTGAACTAGCTAAAGGTTAGCTAACAAGCTAGCTATCCAGCTAGCTGTCGTTAGCTGCTGTCACCGTCACCTTCTGGAGGAACTTTGACGGATATTTGGAAGGGGTATGCTACTAAATTGCTAGCAGTCAGTTGTTGCAAAAACACAGTACAACATGTAAGTGATTAAATAATCAACACATTTAAAAAAGGGCCATCCTCGGCTGCATGGAAGCCACAAGATTAGCGCTTAATGCTAACGTTACAAACACCCTCAGCAGACAAAACCCTTTAAAAGACAAACAAATACTCACAAGCATATTAGCGCTTTTGTTGTCACCGTCAGCCATCGTTACTTGTTAACCACCGTCTGTTGAGATTCTATTGTGAATTTGGCAATATTTTTTAGAGGCAAACGACCCGCAGAGCAGCAGCAGCAGCAGCAGCACACGCCTCCTTCAGTTGCTTTGGCGTTACTAACGGTCGAGTTCTGGCAGGATGTATTTATGTCCACATTTTGCGTCAAAATTAGCGAATGGCATTCTGGGAAATGAGGTTTAACTTTTGTGTTCATTGTCTGAATCAGGTTTAAGTATTTGCACCTATGATTTGCACACATAAAATAAATCTAACGGCTTCTTATAACCAATTGTTTTCAATATGTGCACATATGATGATACAACATTATACATTAGTCTTACATTCTTACATTATCACATATATGCATTTTTTTAATTATTAAATAGCATAACATAATTGTATTGTTATGTGTATTCTATATGTAGCCTATGTTTCTTGTCAAAACTCCACCAATACACCAAAGTTCAAGCAAATACCTTGTATGTAAAAAACAAACAAATTCTGTTTATAAGTATCTCCCATTACACCCCAGCAATCATATAATGATTATACATGAATACTAATAATAGTTACTGAATACATTAGATATGTTTCATAGATAAAAAAGTGAAAATAGTAATGTGGCTATTTTTTCAACGGGTTCACTGATAAATCACCCAAAACTATTTCATCAATCTCAAATTGAACATTCCTTTATGAAAGAAGTCAGTTCTCTCCTTTGCCAGTGGGAGTCAGTCTATATCAACATAAGGTGAAACTTGAGAAACACTAGCTGCAAATACTTGAACATGTTTTTGATAAGGCTTTGATAAGAAGAAAAAAAAATGTATATTTTATTAAACAAGCCCTTATTTATTACGAAATGCATATTTATTGGTTTGTAACCCTTTGTGTAATTCATTCTTTATCGTGAACAGTCAATGTGTTCCTTGTTTCCCTTTAAAATCCCATTATCTAAGAACCTCTTTTTAAATCGCTTGAAAGAACATCATGTTCAGCATTGAATCAATATATCACATTGTTGATGAAACCCCCTAAGGTCAAATTAATTGCTCTTTTCTATTGTAGGTCCTCATTTGACTTTGATTTTATATTATAATTATTTTAAGATTGAGAAGTCCAACTCGTTTTGAACATTTATCGTTCTCTCATTGCATTATTTTATTATTTTGAATTCATATTTGTTTTTTCAGGAAGATTAATCATCTATCAACTTTGTTTAGTGCAAATACATTACTGTCTAATTTAAATGATTGTGTTTTCAATACGATTCTTTTAAAAAAAATAAAAAATGCTCTCTTAAATATATAATTGGATACAATACAATTATGATTGTGAATAAGGTTTTATCAGGGAAAAAATGTATTCCTCAACAGAAGTTAGTCTAAGAATCTGCTGCTTTTTTTTTTTTTTTTGTAAGAGAAAGAGATTTAAGATGAAAACCACGAAGTCAAACTAATTGTTACTTTCTAATATATGTCCTTATTCATCTACTTTTAAAATGCTTTTATCGATTGTATCAACATTAGAATGGTTATATTTCCAATATATATTGAACATTATATAAGTCTCTTTATTGCATTATTTTATTTTTATTTCAGTATGCTGATGATCTAACATCAATTCATTTATCCTTTCAGTGCAATAACAATTTGGTCTATTTGCAAATGCTTTCATAACAACTTTTAAATAATTATTTTACTGTTAAAGATATAAATTGTTACTGTGAAAATATACGTTTTTGAAAAAGGGACAAAAAAAGCAAAATATTTTTCATAACCCCGCACCCTCTTCCGTTTGTTGTCCGATTTCCCCCCGGCACGTGAACGCATCGCAGTTTAAACGTGCGTATGACGTCTTTTGGTTTTCATCTCGTTCCTCCTCTGCCTGGAAATCAGACCAGCTAGCCGATAGTTAGCTAGCTAACTAGCTAACTTATTTAATTTCCCCACAGTTTTCAAGACTTAGTTAATATAAGGTGTGTTTGATTGTCTGATTCAACAAGATATTATCCATCGCGAAATTACTTCCCGACTCCGTTTTTCTCTCAGCTCCCGGAGAAAACACTGGTACGTAGCAAAAACGCTAGCTTGTTAGCTTAGACCAGATCTGTTAGCTACGCATAAAGTGCGGGTGGGCCTTTACAAAGGTGTAGCATTAAAATTCACCTCATTGTTTCTCGAACTACAAAATCAAAGCAGTGTGTTTGGGCTATATTTACCTCACCATATGTTTTCTAATGTAGAATCAAAATCTATGGCTTAGTCTATGGCTTAGTCATAATACATTGTCTGTCTTGCATTCAGACGCAGCAACAGGCCTATTCTGGCGCACGTGTTTTTGCGCCACAAAATAATTTGTTATCGTGAATACATTCTCTAGATATAACTATAAATGTGTATTTAGACTTCACTAGATCACAGATTCATGTTATGTATCCTAAACCTTTTAACCGCTATGACACTGCGAGAAACCTTTGCCACACTAGCAAAATAGTGCCTGCATAATAGTTTGTGTTTAAATTATTTCGGTTATACTGTGTTATTGTTATTTTGTCAGCCACCTTCATATAGGACTGCAGGACTGTATAACAGGCATCGCAGTGATCTTGAATCACTACTAGCTATATTATGTCAGCCATTTTAGAATACTCCATTCCTTAGTATGTTATTTATAATGATTTAAAAGGGCAACATTACCTAAAATGTAGTGATTCATCATGTAGCTTTAATGCCATTGATATTGGGTTTAAGTCTTGATGATCTGTTTTTTTTCTTTTGTTTTTGGTATATATGCATATATAAATATTTTTGTATGTATTTATGACTTTCATCTACAAATAACACAAGATAGAGGAAAAAAAAGACTATTACTTACAGGAAACAAACTTCTACTATTGCTGTTTTTGCAATATTTAATTAGCTTTTATAATTTGTTTTTAATACGAGGGATGTCTTATAAATCCTGCTGTCTTGTTTTTTTTCCTCTTGTGTAATTTTTTGTATGTATTATACTTTGCTTACTGTTTTCAAAGTATTTATACCTCTGTGTACATATTTTGATTTCCTCTGGTTATACCCTTTTACCCCACTCAGTTTACTTTTCCTTTAGTCATTTGCAATACTGGCTACTACACAATTATAATACTTTTTAAAATATGCTTACTGTTTTACACCTGTGCACATGTATATTACTTCTCATTATACACATTTACTTTCCTGGAAAGATTATTAATTTTAGTCTTGGATTCTCATTTTGCTTTTACTTAAATGTTTTTTAATAACATTTAATGAGCATTGTTGTAGGAATCTTAAGTTTTCATTGCTAATGACGTCTTCTCTGTGATAGTTGTTGATGAGATAACAAAGATCCTGAAATGTTAATTTCCCCCCACAGAGCCATGTACAATGGGATTGGACTGACAACTCCGCGGGGCAGCGGCACCAATGGCTATGTGCAGCGCAACCTGTCCAGCCTGCGGGCCAAGCGGCCGCGGGATGAGCGTGGCGGCGAGCGGGACGAGAAGGACCGCGAGAGGCTGGAGAGTCAGCTCAACAGGCAGCCCAATGCAGACATCCTGGAGCACCAGAGGAAGAGGCAGCTGGAGGTCAAGTGTGCCGAGCTGCAGGACATGATGGAGGAGCAAGGGTGAGGCAAAATTCTGCGTTCAGGGCTTAGATAGTCAGACTTTGGGGCTGGCAGTAACTCAGTTTGTAGGGACTTGGCTTGGAAACCAGCAGATATTAGCTGGCTACAGTGAAATAAACCAATTCGAATTGGGGGGCATGAAACCCTCTTTAATGGTCACACATGCAGAGCACACAGTGACATTTGTTCTCTGCATTTAACCCATCCTAGTACCAGCAGTCTAGTACTAGGAGCAATAATAGTTGCAAGATCTTTGCTTTTTTCTATGCTGTGAATAATGATGTAATACTCCTCTTTGTTGATGTCCAGGTATTCAGCTGAGGAAATCGAGGAGAAGGTGAATACTTTCCGGATGATGCTCCAGGAGAAGGAGGAGCCGGCTCCCGTCACCACTGACAGACCATCGTAAGTCGATTCATGTGGCTGGAATAAATAAAAATTTGAAATTCAAGCTTAACCATTTAATCATAAATAATTTTGGTTGCACACCTTTAGTTTTCTTCGGTGCAACACATACTATAGGATGTAAATATTCATATGCTGAAGAATACTGTTACAAATTAAATAATGACAAATAGGACCATTCTTATGCATTAAACCCATTTCAATGTACTTTCATAACCTGTTTTTAAATAAGAGTGTGATACATTTAGTAAGCATGTCATTTTCAACAGAAATAATATCAAATGTACCCTTACAGAGCATCTCATTCTGACTTGTATGCATTGTGGTTTGTGAAGTATGTGTTTTTCATGGACTTTGAGTCTGACAGTTAAGTTGAGGATGATCTCACAGTTTCTGTTTGTTTTGTTTCCTCTCAGGGCGACAGAGACTCATGCTCTGGCTGCTGCAAACCAGCAGAAGAATGACCGTCTTCGCGCTGCCTTTGGAATCTCCAGCGACTATGTGGACGGATCCTCCTTCCATGCCGACCGCAAGGAGAAGGAGAAGGAGAAGAGAGAGCAAGAACGCCTGGAGAGGGAGAAGCTGCAGCAGCAGAAGTACACGTGCGTAGGCGAAAACTCAAATAGTGCTGGTGTGCAACAACAAAAAAGGCTATTTTTCCTTTTTGAAACGACAAACTCACAATATGGCTATATTGGACAAAATGGTTTGTGCTGGGTAGCTGTTCAAAGTGCATCTGTATTTTGAGATACTGTTATAAGTGGTGCTTTTCAACGCCACAGTAATTACGGTAACTTTATAGTGTAATATTCTGTTCACCAAGCATTATGTTCGTCCCTGACTCAACGTCTTTGCTCTCTCAGGTTGGTGGAAGATTCAGACGACTCAGATTCTCCTCCCAAGAAGCGCAGTCGGAAGAAGAAAAAGAAAAACAAGGCCAGAGACGGGTGAGGAAATGACCGTGATGAAGCAGAGCTGTTCCTCATAATGGAGAAAATATCTAAGATTCTTTTGTTCCTTCTGCAGCTCAGAGAGTCCCTCCCCATCTCCTCGACGAGAGAAGAAGAAATCCAAAAAGAAGAAAAAGAAACGGTATGACCTCTGGGATTCTTATATTTGTATTGAATTACTTCATGTTGATTGTGGTAATTGATGTGAATTTGTTGTGTTTCAGTGATGTGTCAGAAGACGTGGAAGAAGTAGACAGGTATGTGTTTTTTATGAGTCCATCATTATTTCTTTGTTGATTTCAGTTCATAAAGTGAATATCTTATTAAAAATAGACTGTATTTTTGTTCTTAGTCTGCAGGCTATTTTTAATTTTGTATTTATGGGGATCCCAAGCAAGCTTTTGTTATGGATTATGTGTTAATGTCTGCCCCTGTGACCTTCCTCCACAAAAAAAGTTCCTCAGATGAGAAACAGGAGTCAAATAAAAAGAAGGGGAGTTTGAGTCCTCCGAAAGCAAAGGACGTGCGGGGCAGGAGCGTCTCCTCCGGCTCTGCTCACAGGTATGAGACCATCAATCAGGCCATGTATAGAAGTTATTCAAATGGAAACATTTTAATTGAATACCCTTTACATACAAAAAATATATAAATGTATCTGTGTGAAATAAGATTAATTACACTGTGGGTAAGTGCTTGGAAGTAGTTGCAATTTCTTTGAAATGTAATTACTATTTTTAAAATTACCATTAACCGCACCCCACAGAACATGTCGAGTAACTCCTGACTTTCAGGGAGTAATGTTGAGACCTATTATATGATTTAGTGGCCATTAGCCATTAAACATCAGATACGTTTGGTTAGACCTACTGAAGCCTTTTAGGACATTTTTCGGCTAAACCTGAATAAAATCCATCTTCCAGACAAGGAAGTCTTTGTATATGAGATACGGGTATAACGGTATACGTATTCATACCGAAAATTTTCGGTATGGGCCCTTCGGGTCGGTAAGAAAAACTTTGGAAGTAATCTCAGGAGCTGCGTCGCAGCGTTCAGTGTAATTCGCTCCCATTGGGTTCAACGCGTCATAGAGTGACCAAGTCATTTCATTGGACGAGAGGCATTCTATGAGAGCTGGTCACAGGGATGCGTTCAAATTTAGTCAGTAGTTTGGGGTACTGTCGAAATAGCGAACGCAGATACAGTTGAGCTCGAAAATCCTCCAGCATCATTGAAGTCTCCGGTTTGGGAACATTTTGGTTTCGCAGTTACGTACAAGGATGACGGACAAAGACAGGTGGACCGAACCAAAGCTGTTTGTCGGCATTGTTCAACTAAAATTGGTTACGCGGCAGGCAATACATCAAACTTGCACACTCATTTGAAAAGGCATCACCCGAACGTGAACATCACCGGTACCAAAAGAAAAATGACTGAAGTGCAAACCCAACTCCCACTAGCATTTAAGCCTCCACCACTCGCAAAAAGTTCCGTGCCATGTTAGCAAAGCGCTACCTGGCTGTATCTGCTACCTCTGTCCCTAGCAAGAGGGTGTTCTCCACAGCAGGAGACATTGTTAGTGCCAGCAGATCGGCAAGCAATGTGGACAAGTTAATTTTTCTTTAAAAAAACATTAAAATAAAATGACAAGCAAGCAAGTCCTAATGTCAAAGTAGTACAGTTCAAGTACAGATTATTACAGTTCATCGAAATGCTGCACCTTAATGTTTATTTTATTATATTTTGTATTTATTTGAGTGAATATTCAGTTTAATAATAATAAAAAAATATATATTTTATGTTTTGTGATCATTTTTTCTGCTGTACCGAACCGTGACCTAAAAACCGAGGTACGTACCGAACCGAAATGTTTGTGAACCGTTACACCCCTAATGCATTCATATTTTTCTCTGATGTCCACAGCGAGTCTCCAGCTCCATTGAGATCACGTCAACAGGACCAAAATGCAAGAAAAGCAGACGAAGGAAGAAAGGGGAGATCGCCTGACAAAAGGCAAAGAGGCTACGAGGAAAAAGGCCAACTTCTTCAGGGAGGAGAGGTAAGGCTGAACCTGTTATACTTAAACTGGACCTATCATGCTATATTTGAATAATATAGTGTAGGACCATACCTATATAAGGCATATTTATGCTTTTTATTTTCAAAATACCAAACAGATCATGCATTTTAGCCATTCCTCATTTCGCTCAATTTAACACTGTCTTTGCATGGGCTGATTATGTGAGAACAGCACCATCTACAGGCCTGGCATATGTACTACAGCGTCTCCAGCGCTTTCGAACCGTGGCTGTCTCCTCCTGATTGGTGGAGTTGGCCCATTAGCCGTAGCGCCACTTCTGTGACGTCAGAGAAGTGTTCAAATCTGGATCAGTGTGTATCAGATCCGTTGCAGCCCCTTTTTAAGAGATTTGGGTATGGAGGAAAATAGAGAGGGTTGTGTTTTCTGACACTTGGTGAGTTCCCTGGAACACCGGGGACACATATTCATGTATAAAAGACGTTCAAAAGTGCATTTTGCATGATAGGTCACCTTTAACATTTGCTATTAATAGAGAGCTGCTGGAATGACTCCTAAAAGCAGAAACATTTTCTGCATTTTCGCACTTCCAATTCCCTCATCAATGGGTTTTGGTTAAATGCCCAAAATAAGGTCTATGGCTAACAAATGCTTATTTTAGAATTTGGTTATACAACATAAAATTACCAGCCATGACCTCTGTCTCGAATGCTTCTATGCGTCTTAAAAACTTGGAATGCTAACAAGTGGCTAAATGAGACTACTAAACATGAAGCCATGTGACATTGATGTAGATCAGGGCTATTCAATTGGCGCCACGGGGTGATAATCTACTTTTTTTTAAAGATAATTTTTTGGGCCAGAGTGCCTATATTCCAGAGAGGGTGTTACATTGAGAGATAGAGGGGAAGACATTCCCTGAAAACTTTGGCGGGCTCGGGTTTTGAACCCACCTACTAGCTACTGTAGTGACACCTCCTGTCATTTATTGCATCTCTGCTTGAATGATTAGATAATTTCACCGAAATTAAATCAGATGAAATGATGTTGATGGTTAAATTAGCTTCACACGTAGGCCTACTGAGTTCTGAGCCATTTAGATCTATAAAGGCCTTGGGGCTATGTTTGATTTCATTAAACACAATATATGCACTCCACTATGCTGTTGTAGTATTTACTGTATCCGAAGCTCTTAATATGATTGCTCATATTTCAAGCCATCTTTTTCCCGGCCCCTTGCTTTGGATCATTTTCATCAACCGACCCCATTCCAAACTAATTGAATAGCCCTGATGTAGATCGTGTATAGCAGGGGTTCTCAAACATTTTGTTTATGCGGACCACTATTTATTATCAAGGATTTTCGCGGACCACCTCATATGCAAACCGTAAAAATAAGTATGTATGTGTGTATATATCTATATATATATATATATATATATCGTAGTGTTAAACACCGATATATTGATATTTTAACTGAATAACATTAGGTGACATTATTGTGGCACATCAGTAAAGCCTTAAATAGAAATATATAAAATGGCAGACATAATTGAATGAATTTTAAATGAACAATAACTAAATGAGTTTGTTTCACTCTTAGACCAGGGGTACCAAATGTATGCAGTCTCCTGCAATAAGTACCTCATTCCTTCCTTCTACTTGGGTCCGGATGCTTCTCGTTTTGCGCCGTCCAGTTCAAATGAAATCGCCGCCAATCGTATTTCCCCGCTTGCCCAGGGCCTCTTGTGCCGCATTCACTTGCACTCAGACATTAGAGCTTTTCTCATAAATGTCCGATGAGCCCAACGACCACTACACCACTGCCTGATATCATTAGAAAGCTAGGAATCTCCTCTTCCCAACAGTGTATACAACTCAAAATGTGTCTTCAGGTCAATGCGACTGATTTCGATAGAGCAAGTCACATATGAGGTGGTCCCCGAAGATCCTTGATAATAAAAAGTGGATTTTATTTAGCTTTTTTCCACGGACCACAGTTTGAGAACCGCTGGTCTATAGCCTAACCTTATTACTACTAGGAATTGCATTTACGGCTAAAAATTCCTAAAAATGTTGTTAATATGTGGAAATTATCTGAATGAACAAATAATCATAAAGGTTTGCCACATAGATTATTTTCAGCAGTAATCTAAAAGACAATGGAAAATCCCATTTGCTTTTTTGTTGAGGTAACCAGGGTGATAATAACTTCAGGGTCAGACAAAAAGATTTCCTTCTTGCACCTCTATATTATCCCATACAAATTCTAAACTAATTGATTTTATACTAATCTTAACATGAAGATATTATTTTTGTTTGAAAAAAACACCAACAAATCTTTCTCTTCCATCTACAAGAGGCCCAATCTTGAGAGAGAAAAAGAGAGGCCGATGGAGACTGAGAACTCCTCCAAGAGGAGACATGACTCCTCATCCCCTTCACCACCACCACAGACAGAAAAAGGCAGGGAGCAGGAGAAAGGGAGGCGTTCCCGGAGTAGAGAGATTGAGAAAAGAAGCATGGAAAACGAGAGGGAGAAAAGGAGGCGTTCAAAAAGCAGAGACATGGAGAAAAGGGGGCGTTCAAGGAGCATAGAAAAGGAAAGGGAGAGAGGGAAGAGCCCCAGAACCAAAGAGATGGAAAGAGTGAGGCGTTCAAGGAGCAGAGAAAACGTAAGGGGGAGAGGGAGGCGCTCCAGAAGCAGGGAGGTGGAGAAAGGGAGGCGTTCAAGGAGCAGAGAAAAGAGAAACGTTCCTCAGAAGGCCAGACATGACTCGTCCTCTTCTCGTTCTCCTTCTCCTCCACCGAAACAGGAGACGAGGAGAGAAAAGAGCAGAGACACTGAGTGGGAAAAAGACAGGAATAAACAGGACAAAAAGACGAGACACGAGTCCTCCTCCCCATCGCCTTCTCCCCTTGAGAAGGCTAGGAGGGAGAGGAGCGGAGAGAACAGGGCTGAGAGAGATCTGCACTCCAGGGACAACAGGAGAGACGTCGGGAGGAGACAGGAGAGGGGGGCGTCTCCTTTCCAACAGAGAAACGACCGGAGAAGAGATGGAGGAAACCGAGATTCACCTGCAGCTCGGTCACCTGTCACCAACGGGCGTCAAAGAGAAAGGGAGGACGAGAGGAGGAGAGAACAGGGTGACAGGGTGAGGGAGCAAGAGAGAGGGCGAGGTGGCAGCAAAAGAGAGGAGGCCATACGACCGACTGCAGAAAACAGGAGCGATGGATCCAGACCTGCAGAGAAAGGCAGGAGCCAAAGACCAGAGATGAAAACCAGAAGTCCTCCGAGGAAGGAGAAACAGGCGGAGAAGAAAAGAGCTACCAGCAGCAGCAGCAGCAGTAGCAGCGGCAGTAGCAGCAGCGGTAGTGACAGCGACAGCTCCTCGTCCTCCTCTTCCTCATCTTCTTCCTCTTCAGGTTCATCCTCTGAGGACGAGACCCAGGTGAAGAAGGCTTCCTCATCAGGGAAGGGGAAAAGTAGTCCATCTAAAGGTGCACCGGGTGCCATCGCAGCTGCTGTGGAAAGGCACTTGGCCAACGGTATGAAGGAGAGCCCGGTGTCTGCTGATGGGCGTGCCCAGAAGGAGAGGGAGGGTGGGGGAGACAAACGGGAGAGGGAGAGAGCTCCCCACAGAGCTCCTGCAGAGAGTCAGCCGCCCCAGAAGAAAGGTCAGGAGCGCTACAGCCCCACGCAGATGGACAGCCCCTCTCCTCCTCCCTCCCCGCCCCCCAACAGAGCGGATGCCAGCAGAGGCAGGTACTCCCCCTTTGAGGCCGAGAAAACTAGGGTGGAGGCGAGAGTCGGGGATAGGGAGAGAGGGAAGGAGAGGGAGGTAACCAGGAGGCCTGCGAGGTCCAGCCCCGCGGCCAGGAGGTCACGCTCCCCACCACAGAAAACCACTACCGCCTCGCCACCACGCCGCACTCCACCAAGGCAGTACCAGGAACCCCCGCCCCGATCCAGGAGAGCTTCTCCCCCCCCGACCTGGTCTGACCGGGACAGAGAGAGGCCGAGGGAGAGAGACAGAGACCGGGAGAGAGAAAGGGACAGAGATAGGGAGAGAGAAAGGGAGCGGGTTGTGAGGAGGAGCCGGACCAGAAGCCCAAGAAGGCGCTCCAGGTCTAGAAGTCAGAGGAGGCGCAGCCCCCCCAACAGGTAAGAGGAACATCCACTCATTAAAAGGCTGCATCTTTATACCTGGCTTCTCCTTAAGAAGGGATCATAATACAGTTACTTAGGCATTCTTTTGGTCTGTTTTATTGCAATTAAAACACAGCAAAGTCTGTAAATCTTGGGTTCACCCACACAATAGATTCTGCCAACAAGTGACCGGTAATACAGCTCGGTCAAACTCAGAGTTCTTTATCTCAGAATGATGTTATAAACCCCGACACGACACTGTTTGGATTGATAACGCATGTTTCTTTTGTGAAAAGTACAGTATGAGGGCGCTAATGTAACTTCCGGACCAAATTACCCGCTGGCGAAAATCATGCATTTAAGCAAAGTGAGAAAATAATAGTTTCTTCATGTCTTAAAGCTGCTGAGTCATACATTGCACCCTAAACAAAAAATAAATCCCAAGTTACGGTTTCTTTACTTCCTCTAAAAAAATGTGCATTATGTTTTTATTTTGAGTTTAACTATAAAAATGTGGCACCTCATACAAATGTTGGATGTTTTTTCTTGATAAAGTATGAACTATTTAGTGATGCGTGCTGTATGTATTTGGTTACACAGACAATTGATTGATTATATTCATGATTACTACAATATACTGTTTTTTTTTTTATGTCATCACTTTTAACTCATGGCATGGAAACTGTTTTGTTATTTCAGGGTGCATCGTGTCCTTTTATTGGACAGTTTGACTGGAAGTGAGGGACTTGAGGAGGATGACATGTTGATTCTTAAAGTCTTGATTTGTTTTTATCTCCCAGGTCCCGCCGCTCCCCCTCCCCACAGCGGCGAAGGAGGAGCAGTCGCTCCCTCTCCCGAGAGAGAGCCCGAGAGAGAGAGCAGCAGAGGCTCAGGCAGAGAGTGCTGGAACAAGAGAGAGAAAGGGTGAAGCAGCCCCCAAAGGAGGTTCCCCCGCCCCGCAGGGCGTCCTCCTCTTCTTCTTCCTCCAGCTCCTCCTCCTCGTCTTCGTCCTCCCCTTCACCACAGCGACAGGGGGAAGACACCAAGGCACTAACAGAGGACGAGAAGAAGAGACGCTCCTCTTCCTCACAAGGCCCCTCCAGAGACTCATCCCACGCCCAGGCCTCAGGTCAGAGAGGCCCGCCGTCAGACTCCAGGCGCTCTGACGGTCCCTCCAGAGGGTCTCCGGCCGCCAACCAATCAGAGACCAAACAGCCCTCTGAGGGTCCTATCAGGACGCGGTCACCAGGGGCGGCCCCTACACCGTCAGACCGCACAGTCCGCAGTGAGAGCGCTTTGAATGGGAAGGAGGTAAACAAGAAGGCCAACCAAAGCAGCAGCAGCTCCAGCTCTTCTTCCTCCTCATCTTCCTCTTCTTCCTCCTCTTCATCCTCCTCTTCAGACAGCTCCGACTCTGAAGGGGAGCAGGAAAAAAAAGGGTAAGCTGGAGACGGGAAGAGTTGACGATAAACTGAACATAAGAAGCCGAAAATTCAGGATTCACAGCTAATTAATTTGTAATTGATGAATGATTAAATGGTTATTCAACAACTGTTCTACTTAAGTGTGCTTCAAGCCTTTTTTAAAACTGTTCTATTCTATAAAGGCAGTTGACTCATTGCTTCTGGGAACTAAATGTTTTCAATACTAGTTTCTGGGATTGCAGATTCCCCTTTTTGTGCCATGGAAAAAGATAAAACTTTATTATACCTTTTTCTTTTTTACCTGTCTTTCAGCTGTTTGCCTCACTAACTTTGTGTTCATACTAAAATCAAAAAACTACTAAGAGCAGAGGGGGCCCTGTTTGGAGCACCCTTAGCTGTACTGATTATTCATAAATGTGTAACTTACAATAATTACTCAACTTGTGACTTTTGTTTACAGGAAGCCAGGAAAAACTCCAAGCTCTTCTTCCTCATCCTCATCGGAGAATGAAAAGGAAACCAAGAAAAAGAGGTACAAAGAAAACTGAAACTCGTTTTACTCAATAGGTATTAGTGCTTTTAATTCAAATGTGTCTTTCTGCTACATTAGTTATTATCAGAGTTTAAAAACAACTTCAAAATGTACTTATGCACATATTTTTGTAATTGTTACTGAATTGTGCAACATTGAAAGTAATTGTTTTTGAACCAGGTATAAAATGACTTAATATTGGGTTAGATATATTGGTTGACTTTGAATCAGGAACTCAAACAGGACCAACGCTGTGAGGATGACAGTGTGAACCTTTTCCCAAGGATACTGACTGTTCACCAACTAAATCATCTTTTACCTGAGGAGTGCATGATGAGTTCTGCTGCTCCAGTGTTTTGGCTCTGAGACTTTGATTGACAGCTGTGTTTTTTCCTCCCAGCCCTGCGATGCCTCCGAGGGTCCCGGCTGATTCCCTGAGAGACTCCCGCTCCCTCAGTTATTCTCCTCCGAGGCACATGAAAGCAGCGCAGCCCTCGCCCAGCCGCAGGTCTGTTAGCACTGTTGGACATTAAAAAAGCGAGACAACAGCTTTGAACTCCCTGTACAAGCAGGGCTCCCAAGTCATGTCTGGAAGTTAGTTTAGCTTATTAACGTCAACTTATACAATTCAAATACACATGAAATAATCAATTAGTGATTGCTTTTAAAATGGAGGCATGGCTGGTTTATTCTGTATATGTAGCTTCTCCTTTACATACACGAACAACAGAAGATGGATGCTTTCATAAAAATAAAAATAAATGTCTGTCTTCGATTGTTCCCATTCATCCCATGTTGAATAGAGCCAGTGCTGGTTAATAAAATGTGCTATACATTAATCAAAAATGTGCATTTAGCAGCAAACTAAATAGTTTCCACCAGTGAGGAAGAGAACCTTGTGCACGCTGACGGTTATTTAACAAAGAACGTTTGCAGCTGCCGATAGTAAAAGACACTGCGCTAATGAAATTACAGTGAAGACGTGCACATAACATTTTGCAGCAGGGTGTAATTATCCATGTGGCAAAGAACATTTTGTCTCCATGCCACAAACACAGTAGGTAAAACAATTAAAAGAGTAAAATAAAAAGGTTAGCAATTTGCTAATAGCAAAGCAGCAACGAGACGCTATTTGCTTAGCAGCGCAGTTTACCCTCTGCATAGGACTGTGCAATAAATGAATATAATACAGGGTTTCCCACACATAGGCTTTACTTGGGCGGGCCGCCCAGGTATATTAACGTCCGCCAAAGTATATAGCGCGACCCATTTAGGTTGAATCTTTTTTTATCCGTCCGCGAGCACAACGCCATCTGCGATCGATTAACTACCCCTCCTGTACCTGTTAGCTCTGCTATCGCGTGAAGGGTCTGCTTTATGCGCTCTGCAGTAACTCCGGCGAACAGTTCATGAGCGTGCTCCACTAGCACCCTATGGTTCACCCTACAATATGCTAACAATGTTGACATTTTTGGTCAAAAATATCATCCAGCCCTACCTTTTGTGGGTGCTTCCTAGAGTTACATGGCTTCTTTTTGTCTAATGTTCAACTTTTAGCAGTTGCAAAATCTGCACAATCCTTTTGTGAATTCCCGAGTCTTTATAAAGGTTTTATTTTCCTTTTTTTGTAGGAGCAGCAGCAGCAGGCAATCTCCAAGCCGCTCTTCAAGCAGCAGACGAAGGAAATGAGCCGACACCTTGAGGCGCTTCTCTTCTTCTATGGTGTTTGTCTGTTCCCCTAAAGCTGGTTTAACTGGACTATAACAGGAACTCTACAGCCAGCGGTCAGTAGATTAACCTCTGAATGTCGGGGGACACACTTATCAACAACGCGTTTGTTTTTTAAGCAGCAACGACCCGCGGCCGGCTTGTACATTTATTTTTAGGAGCTGAATAAGAAACGTACACATTCACACACGCAGACACTGTTAAGTAAAGTGTATCTCTAACAATGTTCCTGTGTACTTGTACTGTTTGTTGCAGTCTACCTGTAGATATGAGCTGTCTGTATTTTGGTTATCATGTAACAGATGATAATACGTTTCCATTTAATGTGATCAGAAATGTGTTGATTTCTTTGTTGAAAATGGTTAATAAAAGGCAATTGTACATTTTATTTGTGTGGATTTTGTCCATTTATATCCAGACATGACACTTTAAGGATATACACTTTGATGATATTTTTATTATTGTTAATACATCCAATAAAAAATTAAAAAAGACAGGCAGATATGTCTACAGTATCACAGACTGACGTTTCTTCTGGGTCTGTGCCATAAAGCTCCATAATGGTCCAAATGTTATACAGTGAAGGAAGAGGCCAACACCTAAATCTATTAAAATATCACAATGTTAGAGATGAAAACATACATGTAAACAATATGTTTTTGTGTATCATGATAGTGAAAGCAACTATTGGATGATGACATAATGGATACAACAATAAATATACCAACAAAACAAGATAATATAGAATATTCAATAGTATCATGTGTATTGATCTTCACACTTTCACTTACTCATAGTAATAGTTAAATGATGTGAAACTGGGTGTAAAAAAATAAATAAAAGCAAAACTTGAATGAATAAGCAAGCACAGTCTGTTGCACTGGGGGACTTTATGTCATGAAAAGTGTCAGTGTAAACAATATGTGACTTAAATACAATTTTGGTGGAGGGTTATTATCATTATATCATGGTGTTATATAATTAGATAAGGCATGTTTGGATTATAGTGCTACTATTATTCTTGCACAAAGGGGGGTACAGTTTTCTAAAATGGTATTAAACTTAATTGTGGTGAAATTACTAACTTGAGCATTCTTTCTCATGCGGGGGTTGAACAGGCTGTGGGCGGAACGATTACACAATCAATGATTTGGCTATTCTTGCACTTTTATAATGTGCAATCATTTGTTAGGTTGGTTGCTTCTTTATATTCCTAGTTTCAAACAAATCTCAGATACTACATTTTAGCATTTAGGGCGAAAGTTCAAGCAGTGTTGTGAAATTGATTTAACCTTTATTCATACAATCTATATGTCTTGTTCATTTTGGTGGAAATGACCTAGACTTAATTAGAAAATGGTTTTGATCTTGTTTCTTATGTTCTTCTCTGTTTAACTTTCGATAGGCTTAATCACCTTAAATGGATATACCCAAGTCAACAAATATATTAAAAAGATCTAGCAATAGGGTCTTTAGTTGGCAGTGGCACATATAAATAGAGAAACAGTTGAATATACAGTTGCAAGAAAAAGTATGTGAACCCTTTGGAATTACCTGGATTTCTGCATAAGTTGGTCATAAAATGGAGGAAGCCACTGCTGTCCAGAAAAAACATTGCTGCACGTTTGAAGTTTGCAAAAGAGCACCTGGATGTTCCTCAGCACTACTGGCAAAATATTCTGTGGACAGATGAAATCAAAGTTGAGTTGTTTGGAAGGAACACACAACGCTATGTGTGGAGAAAAAAAGGCACAGCACACCAACATCAAAACCTCATCCCAACTGTGAAGTATGGTGGAGGGAGCATCATGGTTTGGGGCTGCTTTGCTGCCTCAGGGCCTGGACAGATTGCCATCATCGACGGAAAAATGAATTCTCAAGTTTATCAACACATTTTGCTGGAGAACTTAAGGCCATCTGTCCACCAATTGAAGCTCAACAGAAGATGGGTGATGCAACAGGACAACGACCCAAAGCACAGAAGTAAATCAACAACAGAATGGCTTCAACAGAAGAAAATACGCCTTCTGGAATAGCCCAGTCAGAGTCCTGACCTCAACCCAATTGAGATGCTGTGGCATGACCTCAAGAGAGCGATTCACACCAGACATCCCAAGAATATTGCTGAACTGAAACAGTTTTGTAAAGAGGAATGGTCCAAAATTCCTCCTGACCGTTGTGCAGGTCTGATATGCAACTATAGGAAACGTTTGGTTGAGGATACTTTTTACACCCTGCACTGTGAATGTTTACATGGTGTGTTCAATAAAAACATAAAAACATATAATTGTTTGTGTGGTTTTAGCTTAAGCAGACTGTGTTTGTCTATTGTTGTGACTTAGATGAAGATCAGAACACATTTTATGACCAATTTATGCAGAAATCCAGGTAGTTCCAAAGGGTTCACATACTTTTTCTTGCAACTGTATTTATAGGAATAAGGGATACATAAATATATAGCTCAATTTTTTCTTTAAACATAAAATAGTTTTTATTAAGTTTTACTTAACATGTATGAATGCAAAGCTTTTAATAAACATAATGAGAGTGAATTAAAAATATTTCAACGGTTTGTGTTCAAATTAATTCAGAGATAATATTATCCAAAATAAACCAACAAACATTTTAATGAAACAATCTTAAATCATATTTTTATTGAATTTAACCTAACAAATGACCGTCTGCACACACAGCGGTTGCCGGTCTAGGTTTTTCCCACATCACGTGAAGGCAGCCTCAGATGATGAGAGTGGGTCATCAGCTGCAGACAGGCAGGTGTGGTCGAGACATTCCAGGGTTCCAGCTACTCCACCGGAACAGAAACAACGTTTACCGCGGATATATGTAAACACGACCCGGCGACAGACCAACAAGTACACGTAAATGACCAAAGTAAGTGTGATGTCTTTATTAAACAGCAGTCCAAAGTTTCTCCGGGGAGTGAGAAGTTTCCTGACGTCTTGGTGTCGGGGGCAAGTCAGCGCGAGGCCCACAGACCGTCACTCCAGACTGGATAGAAAAATCTAGAAGTTTTAAAGTTTACTAGCTCTTTAGCAGTGACGAACATCTTTTAAAACACGTATTGCGATTTGTATGAACTGTTATGGCCTTGTTTCTCATCCGGTTTAAGTAGTCAATGTGTACCTTAAAGAAAATGTTACTCAATTCGCCTTTTAGAAGCCGTAACATTATGTCACCGAAACTTAGGTGACACATTTAATACTTCAATATCCACCTAATTAAAGTGCGCCGAATTGAAGATCACCCTTTTATGTATTTATTAAAGTAAATTAAAGGCTTAAAGTTGCATATTCCCATTGATTTACATGAAAATAAGAGATTTTCGTTGGGAGTTTGGCGTGTCGTTAAGTCAGTGTCACACACAGCTGAATTAAACGGTTAACTTGTAACTAAATTAATAAACATTAGTGCCAATTCAGTTGTAGACATCGATTACGTTTCGACCTTTCGGTAAACCAGCTGTGTACTTCTGTTTTCTGGTTGACCTGTGGCCGCTGATTCATTCCTCTGGTGTTTGTTAGACATTTACGCCAGACTGCGTTCAAAATATTGGAAACAAATCTGCATATTCACTTTAAGTGCTCACACCCTGTGCCAAGCGAATTAAACCTTATATTCTCAATGTGTAGGTACTATACTTCAATTCGTCCCTTCCAGATATATAATTATGCCTTAACTTAAGTCTGTACTTTACACAAACAAATGAGGGATCATACTAAGCCGAATTGAATGATGACTAATGTGAGACTTAGCACCATTTGTAATTGTATAGTTCAAGGTGTTAACCTTTTATGATAGAGAGATAGTCATTAATTGACACGTTTTATAAGCGCCCATTTGTGTTTCTATGCAAAATGTAACGCATTGTGACTCTATTAACTCCCATTAGCAAAGTCCCATTTACTTATTTCAAATGGCAGCAGCAGCCTTTCCTGTTTTCATGGAAAAGCCTGCCAAACTCCACTTTGAACTTCCCTATTTAATGCAAGTCATGGAAACGCATTGGCAGCTACACAGAGGGACTGTTTTTGTTGTTGCTACCTAGCTAACCCTGCTAAGTTTTAAGATGGGGGTGGATTCAGCAGGATGAGGAAGTTATATTTAGTGACTCAGCTGTTGTTTGAGGAGCAGGGAGGGAGCTAAGGAAGGGCAGACAGTGCATACAACAATAAAACAAGAACTGATAATCACAGGGGCAGTGGTGGAAGAAGTATCCAGGTACTCAAACAACCCATAAGACTGTGAAAAGACTCCACTGCATGTCAAAGTCTTTCATTCAAAATCTCATCTAAGTATAAGTATGCATCATCTAAATGTAGTTAAAGAAAAAGGTATTGATTGCGCAGGATTATGTTTCCTGTCTGTTCATATCACCGCTGCCTAGTGATACATTTTACTGCAGTAGATGTTTTGACCTACTTTTAACTGTCCGCTAGTTTAATCTGCAGCAATGCATCATGGTCTATACTGTTTGTAGGGTGGTCACTGTCCTGTGAGAACCACGTAGCTCATATAAAAAGTTAGTTTTATGAGTTTTTCAGAAAAGCAGCCCGGTTTTCAGCTTTGTGATGATCCATTTTCCAGCTGATCCAAGCATCTTTCTAAATAATTCATTTACATTAAGAAGGAGATGAATTCTCCAAACACATATTCAAACTCTTCTTCTTTCAGTGCATCACAAACATTCAAAATCATCTGGCTATAAAAACAAGTACTAAGGAAAAGTTGCGATTTTAGTAGTGCTCGGAACACAATCGTACAGTAAGGATTTGCTGTGGCTGGAAAAACTCCTGCATTCAAAGTATTGGCATCCGTTATGGTCCATTTATTTTTATCTCGAGAAGTTTATATAGCGCCAGTTAACTTGTGATTTCACCAAGAAATCATTAATGTGATACAATATATTATAAATCATTGTTTTATTTTGTTTCAATCTGAATCTTCAAAGAAACTAAACGTAGCCATTTTGTCAGAGTAAAAAGTATAATATTTTCCTCTGAAGTTTAATCAAGTAGTACATATTCTAGGTAAAGTATGTCAAAATTGTACTTAATTGTACACGTATTTCAAATGTGTTTTTGCAGCACTGGACTATTTCTTAACATTAACCGTTAACCTATTTGTTTCTTTTCTCTGTTTAGCACCTTGTAAACTTGGACTGAATAAGCAATAAACCCCCTCATGTGGGATTATCTTTTAACCCAGCACGCAGAGGAACTGGACTGAAATTAAAGCAGCGGCTCAAATGAAACTCTGCAGATGTAACCACGACTGAACTGCAGAGAAAAAGAGGAACGTCTCCTATTCTCGCTTCTCCTTTTTTATAAAAAAATTAAAGGCATGGAGTTAATGAGTAAGCGGTGGTGGATTTCAGGGCAATAACACCCGTCCATTTGGCTGTCAGAGCAACAACCACCAGATGCAAAATCCCCCATCATGCATCCTTTGGTTTGAAGGCATAGACCTCTGCATTAAAGGAGAGAAGACCGTTCACTGACACAACTGTGGATGTCAGAAAATCAGCGAGTTAGTGTAGAAACCGTTGGAAATCCCCGGCTGGGGTGTCATTGGGTGGAACTGGAACTAAGGTGCGACCACGCGGCCGCTCTCAGCATGAATCATACATGCAGAAATCTCCAGAAACGGATGTGCTCCCACCGTGAATCCTAACAGACATGATGTGAACTTCTGAACCGAAACTCCCAAAAAGTTGCAGAGAAAATTCAACTGGAATGTCGTCTCATTGGCGAGGGAATGCCTGTGATTTTTGGACAAACTCTTGTGCTGCTCTGAGCTCGTAGCATAAGGAGGGAACAATAAAAGGAAATACCGGGGAGATCAGGAATATCGCCTCCCCTTATGAAACTGATTTGACTTGGGAAGACAGTGCGAGGCCTTCCACATGGCGGGGAAGGACTACAATCATCTCTTTAAACTGCTCATCATCGGAGACTCCAGTTAGTGCCTTTTTGTTTTTATTCATATGAAATACTCTGTTGAAGTCAAAGCATGTTGTTTATGGAGTCCCACAAGAGAGAAACGGCAAGTTGCAAGTTAGCCGTTCCCAAAGGTTTTTCTCTAATGCTTAGCAAACCAACAATTAATGGAGATTTGGGAAACGAGTTACAAAAGAAGTAAAGTAGATTTTGTATTGACAAAACATGAGCTGTATGTTTCACCTTGTTCATTAGTTTGCACATAAATGAAAGCCTAAAATGCCAGTTATTATACAAAGAAAATAAATACATTTTGATCAGCTGGAACCAACATTGGATAAACTAGTAACAAAAGAAGCTAATCTGATATGATTGAAACAACATAATCAAGAACTTGAGCTGTATGTTTCTTAGTTAATGGTAATGTACAATTTTAATAATAATAATAATAGCTTAGATTTATATAGCGCCTTTCATGGGACCCAAGGTCGCTTTACAAGGAAGAACAGGGCAAAACAAACATAACAAAAGGCAATCAGACAACCAGTCAGACAGACAAAAACAACAAATAGATTAGGGGCCAGAGGCCTTGGTGAACAGATGGGTCTTGAGGGCCCTTTTGAAGGCGTCAAACGGGGGGATGCTGCGGATCTCCGCAGGGAGAGCGTTCCAGAGGGTGGGGGCTGCCACACTGACGGCTCTGTCCCCGAATACTATTTTTTACTCAAGACTGGTGACAATATAGGGGAACTAGTAACAAAAGAAGCAATGCCAATTTGGATTGAGAAAAACACATCCTGCAGGTTTTGCTCATCTTTCAAGTGAAAAAGCTGACAAACTATTAAATAAACCCAATTGAAAATGTGCATGAATCACATTACCTTGCTAGATTCAGGACATTGAGAGATCACGCGATACATATCATAAACTCAGTTTGAACATTGTAAGGAAATGCCCTGCAGTGGTTCAGCCCAGTTTCAAACTGCCTCCTCTCCAACCAGTGCAGGAAACTGCCTCAACGATGTGTTTGCTTTAAAGCCCCTAATCTGCCACGCTGCTAAACAACGTTTTCAGAGAGGCACTCGTAGGTTTACAATGATTGTCTGCGGTCAGGCTTAACTGAGCTTTTGTTAAGTATTCAATATTAACCATTATTCATTGATGTAATAATATTTGGACTCTTCAGGCTGCCTGTTTGGGACATTTCTCCAATGTAACCTTAGCATAAAGGATCAATATTGTAATTCAGATTGTTTAATGTGATGGCGCACATCACATGCACCTGAAGACAGCCAATCAGTCAATGAAGGACTTCTGCTGGTTTTAGACTTGTTTTACCAAGATATTGCATTACAACACATATCTTGCAGTGATGCTTTAGTTTTCATGGGTAACATATTGTGGTAGTTTTGAGGTATACTGTACTGGGAACAGCTCTGGGAAAAAGACCACCTTTAAAAGTTTATTCAATTATGTGTTTGAGTAAAATAACCCTTTACGTTTGTATCCTTTAAACTACTCGCAACATGTTTCTGAAGTAGACATCGTTTAATTCAAAGCATTAAACCTCTGGGATAAATGTCGGGTTATTCCAACAAATATGGATTTTATTTTGTATTATGTAATATAATTAGCATTTCTTTGCATCATCTGAGGTCTAAACACTGCATCTTTGTAGTTCTGTTGAACAGTTATCATGTTCTGCAACTTAATAGCATCATAACAACATATCATAATCGAATTAGTCTATTGAATAAAAAGCATAATCATTTGACTTGAACACATATAAATAATAAACCAGAGAAACTTTGATCAACATTTAGTGAAAGCCTTAGATTGTGTTGATTTTTCTGTATTTTCCAGCATGCAGCTGCTTCATTCTGGTTGATCAAGTCTCTTCTGAACAAGTTAGCACATGTTTTTTCGGGGAAATGTTCCAGGAACAGTTTTCAGGAGAGTAATCTCTATTTAAACAAGCATGTTTTTGTCTTTTTCTCCAGCCTGCGTTTATCCGTTGTTCTTATATCTCGCTTCGTTTCACTTTGGTTTTCCTGCCCCTCCTGTGTTTTAATTACTACTGTCACTCAGGAAAGAGGAGATTTTTCTGATAGTAAAAATAGACATGACTGTCTCGTCTGTTCCTGATTGGTCACATTAATTTCCACGCAGTTATTTATGAGCTAATCTTTGATGTGCTTCTCCCTCAGACGTGGGGAAAAGCAGCCTGCTGCTCCGCTTCGCAGACAACTCCTTCTCTGGTGAGTCTCCAACCTCTGCTGCAAGTCCAATGACAGGACATTCTTCCGAACTAGAGCTTGTATTTATTAGTGGGAATACCCAGAGAGCATCAACATTGAAAGGCTTTATTGTCATATGCACAATAGCTACAGCGTCACTTTTGGCGCCAAGTGCCAGGCTCCTCCAATAATGCAAGTAAAGTGCAGTAATAATAATATCATATACATATACATATAAAATAGGAACAAAATGTTAAATGAAATGCTTTACAGGTGAAAAAAATACTGAATACTGTAAGAATGTATACATTTATAAACATTTGTTTTTCCTGATTCTTGATTGTTTAAAAGAGGAACCGAAAATGAGAACCAGACTGGAATGGATGTGTGAGAAGTGGCAATCTGGGCCAAAGGGGACGATTTTGAGATCTTAAATATTATATAGATTTGATAAGCCTTAAAATGTCCACTGGATGACTGAACGTGTAGCGATGTTGCTGCTCTACTCGGGAGCTTTCTTTCTTTTATTTTCTTTCTTTTATTGATCTACCAAACACACCAATCCAAGGGATCAAAGTTCACTTGGAGAAGATTTATTAGTGCTCTGCTAAAACAAAAACCATGTAACATCAATTGAAACAATATAATCTCAAGTTTATATCTAAACTAAAAAGAATAAATAGTGTAATAATTGATAAATGTGTGTACTAAACGGTTGTGTATTATAAACAAGTGGCAGTTACATGCCCAAACACTTCATGCTCTACACAGTGAGGCAGAGAATTACAAGCATGTTATCAGGTGAGCCATCTTATCTCTGCTGGGCTAGAGCTGTCCTGACCTGTCTGCAGCTCCACAGCGACAAAACCGTTTGTACAACATGAAGACATTGTGGGGGGTCAATGGATAGAAAGACTTCCTCAACGTTTGTCATTAAATACTTAACATATACTATTCAAGGCTATGTTCAGTTTGTGGATTTCTTGCATTTTCCACTTTGAGGTCTAGAACACAAAAAGGTTATTATGGCTTTTCAGGCAAATTCTGGCGAATTTCTTTGGAGGCCGTCATACATAGGTGTCATTTACACTGGGGATGCAGTGTCCCCACCCCTTTTTGGCATGGCGGCTTTTGTCCCCACTTGTTCAAAGCTTAATGTTTGAAAACCTAGCTTGCTGACTAGCAAATGAAACACTTCCATCAAGGTTTATTTTCACATGACCAAAATCAGGCGAGCAATGATCAGTAACTTTAAACATGTCTTAAATAGTTTCTGATCTTTGTAAGTAATTAATCTGACCCACCAATCACATTCCCAAAAATGGTATATATAGAAAAAATCTCCTGTCCCCCAATGTCCCCTCCCCTTTTCAACACTGTGACACCTTTTCAACATACCGGTAAGTACTTACTGTAGGAAAGGTCTGGGCGTTATGGTGATACAGTATATCGTCAAAGAATATAAAAGTGTCTTTTGTGTATATTTTTATATTGATTCTATTGTGATATAGGTTGGCTCACAATTATTTATTATATATTTAAGAATATTGCATATTATATATGAATATTTTTGAAGTCTTTAACTCACACAGGACATACAAACATAGGCTTTACCATGCTTAGATCTGCAGTGCATTTCTGTTGCTGGTTCCAGTATGATCTGTAACAAATTATAAAAAGGAAAATCCAGTAGAATAAGTGAAGTATAGAAAAACTGCGCTTACAGCTCATAGAAACTGAACAAATGATTGGCCTATAATAGGCCCCCTTTATGTTGCCAGTAGAAATGTATTGCAGCTAATCATTTGAATTATGCTGAATATAAAATACTATATGTTTTACTTTTTGGTTTTCCAATATCTGTGAGATCTTCTGATTATTCATGTTGCTGGAATAACAAAACCTCAAAAAGAAAACCCAGGTTGGAGAAAATAGTTATTCCCTTAAACGCCTGAGTATGTCAGGGTCTTGTAAATGTCACAGCTAGTGTCTGCTGTCTTTACGGTAAGGATGCAGGTCAGGCACTCCAGATTGCTACAGTTTGTCTCTGTGAGTCAGCACAGTCTGTCTCTGTGGGTCAGACTCAGTACAGTCTGTCTTTGGGTCAGCACAGTCTGTCTGTGGGTCAGCACAGTCTGTCTCTGTGGGTCAGCACAGTCTGTCTGTGGGTCTGCACAGTCTGTCTGTGGGTCAGTACAGTCTGTCTGTGGGTCTGCACAGTCTGTCTGTGGGTCAGCACAGTCTGTCTGTGGGTCAGTACAGTCTGTCTCTGTGGGTCTGCACAGTCTGTCTGTGGGTCAGTACAGTCTGTCTGTGGGTCAGTACAGTCTGTCTCTGTGGGTCTGCACAGTCTGTCTGTGGGTCAGCACAGTCTGTCTGTGGGTCTGCACAGTCTGTTCTGTGGGTCAGTACAGTCTGTCTCTGTGGGTCAGCACAGTCTGTCTGTGGGTCTGCACAGTCTTTGTGTGGGTCTGCACAGTCTGTCTGTGGGTCTGCACAGTCTGTCTCTGTGGGTCTGCACAGTCTGTCTGTGGGTCTGCACAGTCTGTCTCTGTGGGTCAGCACAGTCTGTCTCTGTGGGTCAGCACAGTCTGTCTGTGGGTCTGCACAGTCTGTCTCTGTGGGTCAGCACAGTCTGTTCTGTGGGTCAGTACAGTCTGTCTCTGTGGGTCAGCACAGTCTGTCTGTGGGTCTGCACAGTCTGTCTGTGGGTCAGTACAGTCTGTCTGTGGGTCTGCACAGTCTGTCTGTGGGTCAGCACAGTCTGTCTGTGGGTCAGTACAGTCTGTCTCTGTGGGTCTGCACAGTCTGTCTCTGTCTGTCTGTGGGTCTGATGCTTTTACGCTCCTTTTCCTGCAGGCAGCTACATCACCACCATCGGGGTGGACTTCAAGATCCGCAC